AACGTTATGAAATTATAATTTATTTGTTACATTGCACTTGGGAATTTATATTATAGAATTATGTCACACATTTCAACTGAAATCGTAAATAAACTATTTGTCACTTTCATATTTAAATGAAAATTTATCGTACAGAATATTAAATATAAACAGTTTGAGCGATACAATAAATATTTACATTTTACTTCCAGTCCATAAAATAATAATGTATTGATTTCCTATTGAATGTAACAAAATATAGCCAAACGTGCGTTTATTTATTTCATATTTCTCACTGAATGCAACAACAAATCATATATTTTCCCAATTAATACCAATATTTCGAATATTCTACATTATTTTCTGAAATATATTTATTTTATTAATAATTATTAAACTTGTGATGATTTCAACTAACCAAAATTTAATAAAGACATTTGAATACTCAACCTCAATATCATTAGAATTTAAGTTTAAGTTTAGTACACCAAAACCTCGCATAGTCGAAGTAAACGTTTCCGCCAATATCCCGGACTGTTTAAAAACGTACTATGAGAGAAACTAAATACATATTAACACTGTACAATGAAAAAAAAATCATTTATTAATTAAAATTTACTTTGTTATAAAACCGGACTCTAGTGAATCCGGACTATAAGGGGTATTGCTGTATTTGCCTATATATATGAAAATGGTTAAAAGAATTGAAACAAGACAATAGTAATTACAAAATATATTAGATAATTTATATAAAAAAAAATATGTTTAATTTATGTTAGTTATGTGACACATATTTCTTATTAGAATATTAAAGATAATTAGATTAGAATGATATAAATCCGCTATAAATTCTTAATAAATCTTACTTCTATACTACTCAACTTAGCTGAATGTTATTTAAAAACTCAACGGTCAGCTATTAAAATATAATTTTTATGATATTTATAGCAAATATATTTTCATGAACTATTTTTGAAATGAAATTTTCATTGACATAATAAGTTTAAAATTAAAGTTTTTTTTTATTCTAAAACCATTTGGAATTGTCTGGGGTGCTGAAGAATAAATTAAAGACGTTTTCTCGACGCTCGTTCGTCTTGTACCAATTGATTACCATCGAAATTGCTTTATCGCATTATAGTATTTTAGTGGAGATCGTAAAACTGTTTTCTCGGGGGATTACATCAGCGTCGATTTCCATAAGCGCTTAACGAAACTTCACTCAGAGTCGACAATTTACTGATCAATTAATTAGATAGATTATGAAATTAACTAATTTTTCAATAATTATTTTTATTTACATTACATTAGAAAAAAATACTAGTTTTTATAAATGAAACTGTTATGAATTTATACTAAAATTATTTAAAACAGAATAAAATACTTGTAAAATCTAGTTTTAGAATAATTACAAAATTTCATATAAAAAGAAATATATTTTATAAAAATATATATTTTTTTTTGTTACTCAAGTATTTATTTATGTAACAAATTAAAAATGATCAGTAATTAATTTATATACAATTTGTATATAATTGTCTACTTTTTTTAGTTATAAAATTTATAAACTTAATCTTAAATTGCTTGGGACGCATGTGGACATTCTCTATCACTTTAAAACTTTTCCATCTAAGCCTATGTATTTTCACGTTTCACTCTTTCACATGTCACATGCTCCCTAGTGATTTGTGTAGCCTGAAAAGCCAATCCCACGAGGAAAAGCTTATTCACTTCTTGTCTTTTTAAGAGATCTATAAAATATTCTTGTTATTTCAACTAAAATCATTCAGTTTTGAATGTAGACATTTTCTAAATATTTAATACTTTCTTTAAGAAAATGATTAATGAAATTATCAAAAATGTTTTACTAATCTTGAGAAATACAGTGTAAAATTTATTAAAAATGAAACCTTATAACGAATACGCATATTAAATTAAAAAGATCAAATTCCATGTCGCAGTAATTTTAGAGAAAAGCCAGTACTTTGAAGACTCTTAGCCGACAGAAAAATATATGACAGATATGAAATTAGAGAGAGAAATGGAAAGTCTCACTAATGCGCCTATTCAACGACTGTTTCCTTTTCCTGAAATGAAACCTTAGTTACATGTCATTTAACGTCAATTTAGTGAAGGATATATTGTGACCTTATTTTTTTTCTCATTTCGTATCCAACATCATCATCCATAACCATAACCATTATCAACAGAAAAATATGAATTTATACAAAATGTGATTTTATCCAATGAAAATTTAATAATACTTAAGTATTTTGTTACAAAAATGATGAATAAAACATTGAAATTGAATAAAATTTGAACTTTTTATTTTGTTCCAGACTTTCGTATATAATTTTTATTTGTGATTTAACAAAATGTATTAAATATTATAATTGAACAGATATTGTGATATAATAATCATAAATAAATATATATTTTATTCATCATGGAAGAAAATATATTACAATGTGATTTTATACTGAAATAATATTTTAAATACATTTATTATTATAAAACTTTTGAAAACTACGTCAAGAGGGATTTGTTTATGCAAGTTGTATGGAAACTTTGCAATGCAGTTTATCATTTTAAACTTTTTAATTAAATTCCATTAGCATAATGTGGTCATGTAGAAGCGTTATACTTGATTTGCCATCAGTTCTTTAATTGTATTTTATGTAAAAAAATATATAATGTAGAAAAAAACTGTATTTTGTCGGGCTAAGAAACGTTTAGATCTGTCATAGAAAGTAAGAAATGTTGGTCTTAGACATCTCGATCGATAAGACAGTTCAAAAAGTTGGCTAAATCCCCAGCCAAAAGACGTTTTAAGGGGATTAAAAGCGAAAAGTGCAGCGTCGGGCGCATTATTGAGAAATGCCAAAGTTCGTAATCTCCTCACTAATTAGTGCCCATAATTAATTGAAAGTGATTTATTTTACTACTAAAAATAAATATATTTACTCAATATTATTAAACTAATTTACAGTAAAACTACGATTCTCCAACAATTCCCATACAAATACATTTTATTATATCTTTTATAAAAAAAACATTAATACATCTTTCTTTATGTAAATTATTGTTAATACGAAATATGTATTAAGAAACCAATAACCTTAGGTTTTTTCGTAGAATTTTACCAGATTCAGTTTTTGGGATTTCTTCTAAGAATCTTACTCCGCCATGGATCTGTTTTTCGTTTGAAACATGTACTGAAATAAGTAAATGTTAATTGTAGTCTGCATCTCTGAATATAACTATTATTAATACATGCAACGTGATCTTTGATATCCTGCTCACTAACATCGCAGTTAAGTTGCTTTACAACGAAGGCTATAGGTAATTCTCCAGCAATTTCATCTGGTTTTCCAACAACAGCACAATCGGAAACACCCGGATGTGAGTTTATAATATCTTCCAGTTCAGCTGGAGCCACCTGAAAACCTTTATGTTTGATCAGCTCCTTCAGCCGATCGATGACGTAAAAGTAACCATCTTCATCGTAGTATCCCAAATCCCCAGTCATAAGGAAACTATTATCGTTGAACATCATTGAAGTTGCAGCAGAATTATTAAGGTATCCCTTCATAATAAACTTCCCTTTAAAACACAACTCTCCAGGTTGATTGGGACCCAAAGCCGTGTTCCCGTTTAAATCTTTCACCATCCCCAATAAACCAGGAATTAAGATGCCAACGCATCCTGCTTTTTTATGTCCAGAAGTATCATTTGGAAATGCAGTTACCACTCCTGACATCTCGGTCATACCATAAAGCTGTTGAATAGTCACGTTCAATTTCTTATTCAGAGTATCTTGAACATCGCCTGCTAAAGGCGCTGCGCATGAGAAAACTGCTTTAACACTGCTTAGATTGTAATTGTCGGTGATTGAACTTTTGACCAAGAGCGTAGCAATAGGCGGAACGATAAATAAAACTGTAGCTTTATAAGATTCAATCAGTTTCAAGTAAGTATCTTTCTTGAATTTGGTCATCACAACGTTGACAATACCAGTTAAGAGAGTGTTCACAAAAATAATGATTCCGTACAGATGGTAAAAAGGGCAAACAGCGATGCTGACGTCATCCACATCGCAGGATATGAACCTTGGTATACTAATTACAACAATTAATTACATCAAATAATTTCATTTAAATTACATACCCATAAAAATTAATCAAATTTGTCAAATTTTCGTGAGTCATCTCGACGGCTTTCGAAGTTCCCGTGGTTCCAGATGAATTCATAATAAGAGCTACCTGTTCTTTAGGTTCAATCGTAACAGGAGAAAAATCTATAAACTCTTCTTCAGCATTAAAAATCTCTTTCAAATTGACACAATTGACAATATTGGTAGAGTTAATAATGATGTGGATTAGATTGAACTTTTCTTTGATTAACGATATTATAGGATACGTGAAATCGTAAGTGAATATTACCATAGGTTTGCTCATACCAAGGAATCGTTCAAATTCAACTGAAATATAAGCATTTTATATTTCAATATGTTTATGTAAAGAAAATCTTACAAATTGTGCTTTTGGGGTTGATGCAATGCAGCGCAATCCCATTGAATAGACAGGCCATGAAAATAATGGGATAATGTATGTTATTGTCCATACATATTGCTGCAATATCGTCCTTTTTAAAATCCATTTCTGTGAGGACTTTGGATAATTTTATTGATTTTCTTAGAAGATCATTAAACGAAATAGATTCTCCTGAATTTGCATCTATCTTTAATTGTTAATTCAAAAAACATATATAGATTGAAATGTTGTACTCACGAACGCTGTCCTATTTCCAAATAGTTTGCAGTTATCAATGATTGTTTGAACGAAGGTTTTCTTGTGATCAAAAACTTCCATAGATGCAATCATCTTAATGCCCTGAAAATAACTTATTGGAATCTAATGTAGTAAATTTATAGAGATTCAGTTTCATGTTTACTAACGTGTAATTATAATTTAAATGTAATAATAATAATTTAATTCAGTTTATTACGTTATATTTCTTATTAATATGTATATTTAATTACTATATTTAGCACATTTACCATTCATTAAAATTATTGTATAATAATGTTTATTACTTTTGCATCTTAATATCTGGTATATTTCTTTAAAATTATCCCAGTTGATTTTTAATGAAAGGTTTATTTAGGTAAAGTTAAATTAGGTTAGAGAGTGTAGATTATTTATTGTTATTATAAAATTTACTAAGCTACAAGTAGATGCTTCGTAGAGTCTCGAATGTTCAGTTGTGTTTATTTTTTTAATTTAAAAATATAACATTACAGTTTGAAAATGTTAAAACAAATTGAGCAAAATGAAAATAAACTACACAAAATTATTAGTTTTATGCTAATTGTATGACGTTTCAAAATCTAAAATTTTATTATTCTAAAATATCAATATACACCACATGGATAACACAAGTAGAGGTCAAGGAACAAGTAAAACAGATTATATAATACAATGACAATTTAACATGGATTTAGTAATTCTTAAGCCCTGGGCATCTATTATTTATTAAAATTATTGGTGCATTTTGTCAATCATTTTTGTCACTAGATTATATATTTTTTTAATTCTTTTCGTAGAATTTTTCCGGAAGCTGATTTAGGTATTTCGTCTACAAAGATGACGCCACCATGAAGTTGTTTGTCGATTGAAACGTGTTCTGTAAAAAGCAAAATTGTATTATATTGTCGTGTTACGTAAAGTGTATTTCGACGAATTACTAGCAACATAGTCAATGATTTGTTGTTCGTTGATGTGGAAATTGGACTTTGTGACGATCAATGCCATCGCAAGTTCACCGCTGTTTTCATCGGGTTTTCCGATAACTGCACAATCCGCAATGCAGTCGTGAGAATTAATGATATCTTCCAGTTCCGTCGGCGACACCTGATACGCTTTGTACTTGATCAACTCCTTCATTCTGTCCATAACGAAGAAGTAGCCATTCTCATCGTAGTAACCTATATCCCCGGTGCGAAGCACTTTATCGTCATCTAAAATTGAAGCGTTGGCCGCAGCATTGTTCAAATAACCTTTCATTACGAAATTGCCCTTGAAGCAAATTTCACCGTTCTGATACGGTCCAAGAATCTCATCCGTCTCCACATCTTTGATCATACCAATTACACCTGGACACAATTTTCCGATGCATCCGCCTAACTCTTCTATTGATACAATAGGCATGATGGCAACAATACCTGACAGTTCTGTCATACCGAACACCTGTTGCACGGTGACGTTTAAACGTTTGCTCACCATATTCTTGATTTCAATTCCCAAAGCCGCGGCGCCGCAGATGATTGATTTCAAACAATCCAATTTGTAATTGTCGACTAACGGACTTTTGGCTAAAAATATCGCAATTGGCGGGACCAACCACAATTTGGTCACGTGGTACGTTTCGATCAGCTCCAAGTAACGTTCCCTTCTGAACTTTGACATTACAACTGACAAAGTTCCTGTCAATAAAGTAGACACAAATACGATGAAGCCGTAAAGATGGTAGAAAGGGCATATAGAGATGCCAACATCATTCGAATTTAATTCGATGAATTTAGATGACCTTTAAAAATTAACAATTAGTGAATTAAATCTCAATAATATTGAATACTCACCCAACGTATCCGATAATATATTTCAAATTGTCGTGAGTTATTTGCACAGCCTTTGGAAGTCCCGTCGTTCCCGAAGAGTTCATAATCACAGCCACATGTTCCATAGGATCTATGTCTTCTGGTTGAGCTTCTTCTAAGATGTTTAGCTCCAACAATTCCATTAGACTTATACAATCCACGCGTTTAGTCACGTTGATTTGTGATTTTATAAAAGTCAATTTCTCTCGAATCAACTTGATCATTTCATACGTTGATTCGCTACTGAATATGAGCCTGGGTTTGCTCATTCCAAGAAGATGTTCCAACTCATCTAACCAATTTTAAGTCAACACTAAGACATTAAGAAACAAACTGAAAATACTTACATAATGTACTTTTATTATTGATACAATTTAATATGATCCCGCTGTAAAGACACGCCACAAAAATAATTGGATAATAGATGTTGTTCTCCACGCATATCGCAACAATATCACCTTTTCTAATCCCTATTTCTCCAAATATATTTGATAATTTCTTCGCTTTATGCAGAAGATATTCGAAGGTGATTATTTCTTTTGTTTCTGCATCAATCTAGATTAAATAATTAAAATTAATTTAAAATTTTTGTTGTAAGCTGAAATTTATGTTAAAGGTATAAAAAATCTTGAAATACAATTAAAAGTCACTTCTATCGAAAATTAATTGTACATTCATTGCAATACCTCGGATAGTGCGGTTTTTTTAATATCCCGGACTGTTTCAAATAAAGGAAAAATACAATTATTTTTGTAAAAAAAAATTATTTTGTGTATTATTTTTTTAGAATTTATTTTTATTTTGCTTTAGTGAATCTGGTCTGATCGCACTCTGCGAGGTATTGCTATATTTATAGGATACAATTAATAATAGTGAACTTACAAAAGCTGGTCTACTTCCAAATAGTGTGCATTTCTTAATAATAACTTGTAGAAATGTTTGATTTTCATCAAATTCGAATTCGGATTTTATCATTCTGATTGTAAACTTGATTTTTGTTTTTGAAAAAACTTTTGCGCCTACCACAATTGTCGATCAATTCGTGATTAAGAAATAGTAGAATGTTTACAATACTTTTATACGTGAATTGGTTTTCTTCCACTAATTGATAATATAAATTAAATTAAATAGAAATATGTTCTTGCTAATGTAATTGTTGTGTCCACTTAAAAAAAGGTGTCATGTTTAATCATTAATAAATATAAACTTCAACAAATAAAATAAAACTATGTATTTGTAATGGGATAAACATAACTAACGGATTATTGATTTAATTGCGATTTTCTGTTTTTGAATAATATTTACAAAAAGATATAAACAAAAAATTGTAAAGAAAATAACATAAAACTACATTTATAAAATATTAAAATAATATATTCCAATAAACAGTAAATTTTATTTTAGTTTTTTTTTGGTAAACTTTTTCGTTTTACCATTCATTTCTTCCTTTACAAATTTGTTGGCTGGCTGTCGTCTTGTAGGTTAATAGTCATTAGTATATTGCGGCACTAAATAAGCACAGAAGTTATACTAGAAGTAGAAAATAACATTAAAGAAATTAGAAATTAAGTTATCCAGGTGGTTTAGGTTTGGAATAGGATTTTAAAAGATGTTAGAAATGTATAAAATGAAAAACTTATTAGCAACGAGGAAAATTAAAAGAAAAGAAGATTTAAGAAGATTTTTAAATGACATTCAAAGCATTTTATTTATTGAAAACGATCTTAATTTATGAAGAAGTTCTGTTATTAAGCAATCAGTTTTAAATGCAATAAGTCAGTGTAAATGAAAGAGAAAAACAGTACAAACAATGAACACGACCCACTTGCACCTAAAAAAATTATATAAAAGGGGGAATAATGGGTATGTGTTAAAAATGTTAAAAAAACCATCCCGTCTGTCATTAATTTTTCTGCGACTCCCCCCCTTTGGTGGTCACGACCCACACTTTGAGAATCACTGCATTAGACTCATGTTATTAAATTTGATTTTACTTGGTATGTAAATTAAATATTAAATATTGGCCAAACATCAATACATAAGAAAAAAAAAGTACATTCTATACATATAAATAAATTCTAACATAAAATTAAAAAATATATATATTAATACGCTGGCCAAAGGGCTAACGACCGAGTACTTTCGAAAAATTATTTTTACGAAGATTCAGGATACGTATTCAGGATATAGCAATTTTATCTCTAAAAACAAAGTTTCACTTTACGTAGTAATTTCGTGGAAGCATTCTGTTGGTTAATTGACGAAATTATAATTGTAAGTTTCTAATGTATTTTTAAACAAAAAACAACTTGAATATACTATAGATTTATAAAGACTATGAAAAGTTATAGTTTTCTTTGGACTGTAAGATGGTTCCTGCAAAAGAAAACTATTAAGACAATTCCATAATTAATGCTTTCATTTTGTTGTACTCAATAGAAAATTAATTGCATGAATTTAATTAAAATTTAATTTAATTTAAAAAAAAAGTTAATAGTTAAACATTGCAGGAAGTAACAAAACTTTGTACTAATATATATTAATATGTTACCAAAGATTGGGTTCCTCTTCTACAAAAATGTCAATGGTTAGATCTCATTATACCGACATTATGTAAAGTTTCCATTTGCGAACAATATGTAATAGAAATAATTAATTTACAATTGTTTTTAATACTTAATTTTAAATTTTTATTAGCGCAATTTTAATCAGAGATCGAATCTTATTTTCTACTTGGCGGACTTTCAAAATGTTTATAGTAAAGACGTCAAGATTATTCATACTTATTAAGGCAAATTGCTTGAAGGATGATAATTAAATTTTTTTATTTCAATGATTACCACCTCCTGTTTTAGGTCAAAAAAAACTCTTAAAAAGGTCGAAGGGCTAACCTGTATATTATAAATATTGGGTATACTATTGTTTTATTTATATTTTATAATATGTATAAATAATATATATTTTTTTATGTCCTATAATATTATTCACAATCTGTTCATCAATGTGAACATTGAGTAAATTTAAGATCGCGGTTGACAATAAATGGATAATCTTTCCTGGTGGATAGTTACCATTATGATGATTAGATTTTAATTTGTTGATTGGCTGTCATTTTGTAGGTTAATTCCACTATTTCCTTTGACTGTGAATCTACTGCTATCCTTAACACTGTCATTGTCCATCGACTTGGCTGAAGGTCCATATGCTGAACCTCATTCATTTTACTGTCCATCTGTGATGAATGATGGCCCTATTGCTGCAAGCACCGAGAGGGCTTACAAAGGGTCTGACTTGACCAGGATTCGAACCGGCGCCCATGAAAATGTGGTTATTTGAGTATATATTTGTGGTTATTTCAATTAAACAATGATTGCATCAGAGGTAGATACGGTATTCACGAATTTATCTACACAATGTTGTTCTTTCATCTGTGGAGTTTCATCCATCGCTTTTACTACAAATACACAGTATGCAATTCTCTCATTGTTTCCTTTTTCATTATATAATACCTGTGCAGTAAATACCAGCTGTGAATACGGAATGCTAAGTTTTGTGGGAAATAACTTGAATATATGTCATGTAGAATAATACGTTTATTAATTTGTGATTCTTAAATACTTCATAGTTTATTTGCTCTAATTCAGGTGTCGGAAAACCGGAGTAAATTACCCCATATCTGATAAAATAGAAATATTTGAGAAAATAAGTACGTTTATCAATTAAAAATCCATATATCTATGAAAAATATTAGAAATCACAAACCAAATATATTTTGGGTAATAGATAAATAAAGTTGATTGATATTAAATGAATGTAATTTAAAAAATCTAATTTTTATTATCATTGCAACACTGTTAAAAAAATGATGGAAATTTTTCTATAAATTTTCTTCGAAATCCTCAATATTTCATGTTACATATATATTTGTTCTTACAAATTCAGACATTAATTCCAGCTTTGTGAGAAATAATAATATTATTTATTTTTAAATGAATGATAAATTGCATTCAATACAATTCAATTTTATGTTCTGACCATCAATTATTGCTGACATATATCGATTAGAAATATTTTCATTGGAATTTGATGAAGAAAAATATATTTGTCTTTTACAAGAATTGAAAAAAGGTACTTATTTTAACATTTATCTTATTTATTTTGTGATCGTTTAATAATTGCAGCTATGAATCAATAGAACGCTTCTTTCATATAAGAAAAATAGAATTGATATTTTGTTACAAATATGGGCAATTTTGTCCGGCGCATCCACGATTTATTTGAAACGCTTTTATTGTAGACAGATCATTTATTTTATTTGAAATCTTTAATAGCACCCATAAAACATCACATTATTTAATGTCGATGTTAAAATAATAATGTTAGAGGAAAATACAAAAATAAATCGCTATTAAAAATAAAAAAGCAAAATGTAAGTTCAACTTACATTTACCCACTATTTCCGGGAAATGTATACACTTACCCAAAGACGTCGGTAAATATTCATATAGGTAAATAAAATATATAAGTTATGTCAAGCCAAAAAACAACTAATCACACAAACACAGAATTATTTTATTTATTTCTTTACAATTTTACATATTCAAAACTAACCTAACCTTGATATACAACAACAGTATCTCGTATTTTTTTTTTCAACTTTTACCAGTACGTAGGTAGATCTAAACATTTAGCGGTAAAAGTAGGTACAAGATCTGTAAATGTACAGATTTACCGGAAAATGTATACATATACCGATTGTGTACTTTCACCGTAACATATACATAAAATACTGCATCTATTAAAAATAATTAATTATCTTAACATATTAATTTCCCAAGTTCTTTTCGTAGAATTTTTCCGGCTGCCGATTTCGGTATTTCATCTATAAATGTGACCCCTCCGTGAAGTTGTTTATAATTTGAAACGTGTTCTGTGAAAGAGAAGCAATTTTATATTATTTATTTTATCTACATTATTATATATACTTACCAGCAACATAATCAATGATATCTTGTTCAATGACGTTACAATTTGACTTTTTAACAACGAATGCCATCGCAACTTCACCGCTTTTTTCATCCGGTTTTCCAATGACTGCGCAATCGACGACGCTTTCATGAGAATTGATGATATCCTCCAATTCAGCAGGAGCGATCTGATACGCTTTGCTCTTGATCATATCCTTCAATCTATCCATAACGAAGAAGTAACCGTTTTCATCGTAGTAACCTAAATCACCGGTGCGAAGAAAGTTGTGCTCATCCATAATTGAAGCAGTTGCCTCCGGATTATCCAAATATCCTTTCATGATAAAGTTGCCTTTGAAGCAGAGTTCACCATTTTTGTAAGGTCCTAAGACTTCATCGGTTTCCACATCTCTGATCAGACTAACAACACCTGGACATACAACACCGACGCATCCAGTCACCTTGTGAGCGGTTGCGCTGGGAACGACGGTAACGATACCTGACATCTCTGTCATACCGTACAGTTGTTGAACTATGACATTTAACCGTTTGCTTACCAATGTTTTCACGTCGATTCCCAAGGGCGCGCCAGCGCAATAAACAAATTTCAAACTATCCATGTTGTAATCGTCAACTAACGGACTTTTGGCCAAAAAGATTACAATTGGTGGCACAAGCCACAATTTAGTGGCCTGGTAAGTTTCAATAAGCGCCAAATAACGCTCCTTTTAAACTTGATATTACCACTGACATCATTCCTGACAATAAAGTGGATACCATACTGATAAATCCGTATATATGGTAGAAAGGGCATACCGAGATGGTGATATCATCAACATTTAAATCAATAAATTTAGTTGAACTTAAAATTTAACAATTACATAATAAATTCTCGATAATATTAAATACTTACGCAACGTATCCAATTATATATTTCAAATTATTGTGAGTTAATTGGGCCGCCTTTGGAAGCCCCGTTGTACCTGAAGTGTTCATAATCAAAGCCACTTGTTCCATCGGATTTACATCTACTGGTTGAGCTTCTACCAAAACATTTATCTCGAA